TTTCTGATAAATGTTCAGTTCATACTTCTAAAATCTTGGAAGCTTTCTGTTTTGATCACCAAGAACTTTGCTGTGTGCTTTGCTTGACATTATAGCACAAGAAATGTGAAAATATTCAGGCTATTGAAGAAATGACAGATCTTAACACGGATGGAAGGAATCCTTCCAATCTAAATTGAAAGAAGTTAAATGTCAAGATAAAAAAATAGTTGAAGAAAAGAAAAACAAACACGAAACGCTTGAAAGTTATTTCAAAGATATCGAGTTAGCTGCAAAAACCTCTGCCGCTTCAATAAAAGAGAGAATCGATGTTCTCCTGTCCTCATTCTTAGAAGAGCTCAGTATAACAGGCGATGAACATAAAGGTGTTTCCAAAGGGAAGTTGAAAACTGCCGAAAATTTACTGAGCAGCATTGTTTCATTGATGAACATAACAAAATCTGTACAAGATTATGGCTCGTTGAATCAAATGTTTATTCATTTAAACAAATCGAAATCTGAATTAAAATCTAAAATCGTGGAAACAAACAAAATTTTAGATGCAGAATCAGTTGAGGAATCTATATTGTTTCTTAATGGAAGGTTACATCAAATAGAAAGTGAAGACAGGTTCTGGGACATCGAAGTGTATTGTAACGTGCCAATTAAAGCTAATTGTAATGTACCGGTTGATATGAATGAATTCATAGATGTTAATCCTCTGGATACCGACACATTAAAAAACATAAAATTGAGACACAAAAACACAATGTCTTTCGCGTTTAATGTTAATGCTATTTGCATGATGGACACAATCCTTTTGGTGGGTGGCACAAACATTGATAATTGTTTGAACGGGACGTTAAATGCAGTCGATTGTGTAACTGGTGCATGTGTAGCCAACACCACGCCTGAAAGCTGGATCAGAAGTTTGGCATGCGATATTAAAAGCCTTGATATATTGGTATTAAATGTTTTGTCAATATCTACTTTCAAGTTGCAAGAAGGTATTTTTTATTCACACGACGAAAAAGAAACTAACAATCCGAGCAGTGGCGGGCTCTGTACATGTGATGAAATCGTGTATTGTATCACAGATAATCAACTGCAAAAAATGAACATTGAAAAAACAGAATTACAAGAATGTTTCGACATAAGTACAAAATATGGTAAGACAAATGGACTTGCAGCCGATATCAAAAACAGACGTTTACTGTATACATCCGATACTAGCGAGGTAGTGGCAACTACTATAGATGGCACCGAAATATTTCGCTACAAGGACGCGCATATGAAATCCATAGTCTCCGTTGCTGTTAATATTCAAGGATGTATAATAGCATGTGATCAAAGTAGTAAATTGCATGTGATATCAGAAGATGGAAAGCAAAGAAAAACACTGTCCGATAAGTTTGACAAAATCGACGAGTCTAAAGATATTTGTTTTGATAAGTCCGGCACAACTTTGTTTGTTTGTGGTGACCAGTTTGTAGAAGAATATGAAGTTTTGTACTAACTAAAACATATTCGTCGTTATGTGAATAGATTTAACATAGCTTTAAAGAAATTGAATAAACGTGGAAATTCCGAGAGTTATGGGAAAACGTTATCAATTATAAACTCAACTTTTTTCTAATCTATAGAAGACGCTGCACAATAAGCGTTGTCTCATACCTATTGATGAAAGTTTTTTTAAATGTTAATATTTTATCACATACTTGTAAATGTAATCAGGGTTAACAGAATCTTATTTTTGCTTTAGTATCGCAAGTTTCATGATTTGTTTGGTTTCTTTGTGGCTTTAGAGGTAATTTTTTCGCAACATTACTTTGATCATTAAAAAAAGATAACAGAAGTTACAAAAGAATATTGTACAATACAACAGACTACATTTACCGACTCACAAGAATGGACCCGCAGACAAAGACACCCAACAACACCACGTGGTTCTGATAGTCTGACTTGGTATAGGTTTATACTGTCGTAGGTCTATACCAGTTTAACGTTCGCATGAACCTGAACTATGCCAATATAAATATAAGAAGATGTGGTCTGATTACCAATGAGATAACTATCCACTAGAGTCTGAAGAACGTGGATATAAGCAATTATAGATCACAATACGTCTTGAAACAACGATAAGCTCCAAAACTGTATATAATCAGCTAGAAAATGCTCCGACATGACAAACTATTCAAACGAGAAAACCAACGGCCTGATTTATTAAAAAAACAATCAAGTAACGATAAACAAATATAAAGACAGCAACCACAGACTTCCATTGAATCACAGGCCCTTGACTTGGGATATGCACATAAAGAATGTGGCGGGGTTACACATACTTGTACAGCCCTCAACCCGCCATCTTACCTGGGGTAGTGATGTTAAACAAGAAGAAACTGTAGAAATCAATAAATTGGTATGAAGCATGAAAGCATGAAGCATGAAAAGAACTAACATAAAAACAACAGACACAGCGATCTAATGTTAAGTCCTTTTAAATGAGGTCGCAAGGTTGCCAGCCAAACACCACAAGCTCAAAAGTCGGATGTGATTTTGTTGAAGCCAAAATTTACAAGTGACACTTTAAATAACGAGAAGTTCTAATGAAGAGGACTTTATAAGATTTATTCAACTTGTGCCTAGTGTAAAATACAAAATACCAAAAGTTTATACAGCCGTAGGGAAATCCGATAATTTTGTAATTCTTGATACATTACCAGGAAGGCACGTTTCTAAATTGAGCAACCTTTCGTTTTTTGAAGGAGCATACACATTTTCCATATAAAATTAACTGTAATTAAGGAATGCATCTCCACCATGCCGAGCTCTGATTTCTACTCCGAGTTTGGCATTTCTTTTTGTCCTGATGGTATCACTGTTAAATAAGTGATAATTTCTGTCCACAGATAGATCATTTGCACTACTCATCCTCATTTTTTAAATTCCGAGCCGACCAGTATATGCGCCTACCTTTTTTGCAGCATGCTTGACGGATAATAAAAAATCAGCATTAATCTTTTCAATCGATATAAACGCCATCTTGAAAATATTAATCAACACATATCGGTTCTGATTTGTTGCCTCGTGATGTGGCCATAGTTCTATTGGATAGAATGAGATAAATAATTCGGAACATGTCTCTGTCAGGAGAATATATTAATAACTGAAGATTATTGCATGTGGGTATACAAGACCCGGTTAAAATTTATTGCTTTATGATGACGTAATTCATCTTACTGCAAAGCACTCCAGACCTAGGTTGAACTTGTAAAGTTTTGGTTTGATCAATCTAGGGAGCGAAATCTACGATCTCCTTCATTGGAGGCGGTCGAGCATCATGTCAAAATATCACCATTTCGGGTTGGTTGAAAATATGTAAAGTATAAACACATATATGTAACTGTCTTTGTGCTTGACAAACATGAAAGGTTATTGGAGAAATATATAAATTCTATTTGTACAAAAGTAATGAATAACTCAGGTGTAAAACTGTGACTCAGTGCTCTTTACTGTCTTTGATACAGTGCATTTGTGTGCAACATCTGTTTTTTATCCGCTGTTACTATTTAGTTGTTACTTTTATTTTGTAAGATTTTTCTTTTTGTCCGGGAGTTTTGAAATAAAAACAAGACAAAACCCTCAAACCATAAAACAAAAAAAACTGACATATTATTTTAGTCTTCTATATATACATTATGTAAAGTACTAAATCGCTTTAAGTATAAAAAAGTGAATGAATTATACATCCGACATAAACAAACAATCCTTCAAATGACAAACTCATGCTCAATATTCACCCTCTTCCACAAGTGATATTATATTCAAAAACAAAGAGAAACGTGGGTGTCGGCTAAGTGATATGGAAAGTCAAATGTTTGTTTATGACTGATATTTTGAAACAGATGTGTATTTGTTACGATTTATTCGAGCTTTAGGACTACGATAGTTTTTCGTATAATCCTGAATAATCGCAATAAACGATTTCATGATATCCCGAAAAAGAACCTTTTTTTCTCACATGACCATTACAATTGCTGATCTATCTATGCGCCATTACGATTTTTTTAAATAATATATTTGAAATGCATTTAGTTTACTGAAATTAATTTGTATTTTGCATAAACTGAATATGATATTTTAGAGTAAAACGAAAGACCAAAACAAAAGAAAAATAAGTACACCATAATAAAGACAGTAATGGCTGTGAAAGATAATGTGTTATCTAATGTTTCGATATAAACATTTCAGGAAGACTAGACATGACATAACTTAACCTTAAAAAGCTATATTTCTAACGAAGTGATAGGATAGCTCGCCACAGAGAAGTGAACCTTTCACGGTATTACAGACACTATCTGTAAATGAATATTTAAACTTTAAATTTTACTTTAATGCACACTTGTAATGAATGTTTTAGTTTTCATGGTCGAGTTAAGATAAGAAATACGGCCCGGCTGTCTGTTAACTTCTAACTGATTACAGTTGTTATCATATCAAAATCAAAGTTACACCAGTAGTTCCTTTGAGTTCTTTAAAAAAAATCGTTTAATTTAGTTGATGTTATCGATGTATTACTAGTATTGGAATATTGAATTTCAGAAGTTCTTTTATATAATTAAAAAGATGCTAATTAGGTCAAAATAGAAAGATAGGAGAACAAGGTTCACATAAGGTAATGGAAGTAGTAATAATCCATGATAACAGCAAATAGCCATGCGTTCTATACCTAATTTTAGACCACATGATTTAAGTATGCATGGAAATCTTCTTGGTCGATGGACATGATTTGCTGAAGACAACCGAATGACTGCTGTAGTCACACCCTGTACCTTCCTCTGCAAAGGTTTTCAATCTTAAGTTCATATGTATTATGCAGACATAATTATCAGCTTTATATAAATTGACTAAAAATTATGACAAAAATTGTTAGAGTTTGTATCACAATTAGACAACATATAAATTCATCTAAAAATAATAAAATATTTATAATTAATACTATATAGAATTCAAATGCATGATGATGACGGAAATGCAAGCAATATATTTACATAAGTAACCAACGTTTAGTAACGTTGACAATCTGTCCGAAGAATGGATACGACTTTTTAGATGAGTATGGTATGTATTATCAATGTAACGTACTGTAACATTAATTTGTATTTATCATTTAATTTTTTTTTTGTAACATTGCGGTGCTTTGATTGATACAGTTCGACAGCAGTTAGATAATTAAAGTATCGAATTGAACATGTTGAAGTGGTGAATTTCAATTGCAATCGTTTTGACTGAATAGGCGTACTGTATCAACGTTTCCATATGTTTTCGCAATGCTCAAAGGCGTAAAGCCCTGATTGTCACATAATGTTACATCAGCATGCATTTCTAGTAAAAGATGTACAATATCTGTATAACTTTCATCAGATAAAAACAATTCCCGGGGGTCATATTGACTATTGTTTCCTCTACATGCTATATGCAATGGTGACTGCCCATAACTATCACATTGATTAATATCAGCGTTTTTCTGCAATAATAATTTCACTATTTCCTTATGGCCACCCTTGCAAGCAGTATGCAAAGGTGACGTTTCAAATTTGTCACACCCTAATACGTCAGCACAGTGTTGTAGTAAAAGTTGTACAATGTATGTATATCCCATTTCACAAGCCACATACAACGGTGACCGTTTATACTTATTGCGGATTAAAACATCGGCATTATTGTTCAACAACACGTTTACTACATCAATATGCCCTCTAGAACATGCAAAATAAATTGGAGTCTGTCCAGTGCGACCTTGCTGGTTTATTTTTGCCCCTTGATCAAGTAAACACTCAACTATATCTATATGTCCGCCTTTGCAAGCAATATGTAAGGGTGTCTGGCCATGTACATCACTTTTAGAAATTAAGTTATTTGTCTTAAGCAACAACTTTGCGATATCTAAATACCCTCTACCACATGCAACAAACAAGGGAGATTGGTTTCGTTGGTCACACTGATTTACATTTGCACCATTTTCAAGTAAAAGATGTACTGTATCTTTGTTGCCTGTTTGACAAGCCATGTATAATGGCGACTTCCCAAATTTATCACTCTGAAAAATGTCAGCCTTATTTTCTAGCAACTCTTTTACTATGCAAATGTGTCCTTCTTTACAAGCCGCATACAATGGCGTCTTCCCATATTTTGCACTCTGTGTGACATCTGCATTGTTTTTAAGAAGTATTTTGACCACTTCAATGTGTCCTCCTTCACAAGCTTCATATAAAGGTGACTGCCCAGCCCAACCCCTCTGAGAAACATTGGCCTTGTATTCAATTAAAAGTTTTACAACTGCTGAATAACCTCCTTTACATGCAAAGTGTAATGCTGCACGTCCATCTTTTCTTTTTTTATTTACATTTACATTATTTTTAAGTAGCAATTCAACTATATTTTGATGACCCTTTTTACATGCAGACATCAACGGTGACTGTCCACGATTGTTAGATTTTAAGGGATCAGCATTCCTATCCAGCAATAGTTTAACAATATTTGTATGGCCTTCTTTACAGGCCAAAAACAACGAAGAGCGTCCCTGAGTGTCAACTTTTGATATATTTACATAGTTTTCTATTTTCTCTCTTGCTGCATAAGATGTAACACGGTTAGATCGTTTCCTTTTCTTTTTTCGAAAAAATCCAAAACTTTCTTGAAGCAAAAGTTCCACCACTCCTATGTGCCCCTTTGAACAGGACACTTGTAAAAGAGAACAACCATGTTCACCACAACCATAAAATCTAGCACCGTTTTCTAGTAAAAGTTTAACTACAGTAGTGTGTCCTCCTTCACATGCCGCAAATAAAGGTGTTTTCCAAAACCAATTACTGAAATTGATATCGCATTCTACATATTTTAGATCAAACAGAACCTTCACTATGTCAGCGAAACCTTGAGCTGCGGCTTCCATAATTGGTGCTGAATACATAGAATGTGAATATTGTTTCATGGCTAACCTTACATCAGGATCATGCTGGAAAGCTTTTATAATTCCTGCTCGAATTGTGTCAATTACTAAATTCTTATTACTTAATGTGCTTACGATGTCACCTTGCTTCATATCACGAATCAATCTATTCAAATATTCTCCCCTCATGTTTTCCGATAATGTTATTATTTTGTCATTTTCTTTTCTTTCAAATGATTGAAATCTGTAGTGATCGCGAACAAATGATGTTGGTGCATATTTGATGAAGCATTCTGTAAGATGCTGCCCATACAGGAAAGCAGCAATTTCATTTATTTTATCATGAATCATGATATAAATATTTCCAAACTTTTTCTTCAAGTATGTCAACTCCAAAGATTCAAAACAACACTTTAAACATTTCCTTTTCCGTTCTAGATTAATATTTATGCCACATTCGTCCACTACTTTCTTTATCTTGTCTCTTTCTAAGATAGGTGCGTATTCTAGTTTAAGCCAATCTGTATTAAAACCATTCAAAAATAAGATGCACAAAACTAAAGCACATAGCTGATATTTATTCTGCCACGTTATAAACTGTTTTAAATCATATTCGATAGTGTCAACAGGTGACGAAAAAAGTTTATCTATTTCATCGGAATTTTTCCCAACTGCCAATTTACACAGCAAAGGAAAGAAATCGAAGGATTCTCGACCCCAGGAGTAGCACATTTTGTCTGGTACGTACCGTTTCACCATTTTCATTTTCTCTTTATATGACAAACAAAGCTCTGTTGACAGCAAATTGCATTCGCTTCGTTTGAAAAGTTGCAACTTTAACAATTTAACGTGAACATCCCTGTATAAGTGTAATCTACAGGATACCAACAATTTTGGAGATGACATTTGTGTGCACACTGGATCTAATTCATGATTGTTTTTACTTTCTTCATTAACTTCGAAAATTTTTGCTAACTTTTCCGAATGATCTCTCCACAGCTCCACTAAACTCACATTTATTGCTTCTTTGCCACAAATATCATCAACAACAAAAACTTGTTTCGTTGTTGGGTCTCGAAAGTTGATAATATCTTGCGGTCCTGTTACAAATGGTATCACTTCATATCCATACTTAAAATATAACTCTAACGCAACATGGTGAATGATTGATGACTTGCCATTTCCTGAGCTCCCAGTGACAACAACAACGTTTCTTCTTTTATATTTCAGAAACGACTTCACGTACTTTGTAGCTTTAGTGACGACAAACATTTGGTCGTCCTTTATCCATTCATCCAAATACTGGCGATGTTGAGCTATCAAAATAACAAAGGTTATTGTTAACTGTGAAGAATTCTGTCTCGTCTATGAGTTGGCTTGATAACTTTTTATATTAACAAAATGGTAACCAATTATTTGTAATGTTGACTACTGTCACGAAAAGCTGTTATAGGTTCTAATATAACTTTAACTATTTGAGCAAAAAATTATTAGTATATGTTATTGGATTTATTAAAGAAATACATGCTTCTTTTTGTAATTCTATTGCATTGTAAAAGTGTTGACCGAGGCACATTCTATATGAAGCGTGGAAGTGCTTTATTCTTAAAATGCGTGAAAGATCAGCATTTTAACAACCTATCAAATTACTGAAAAGTAAGTAACAAAAATACCGAACTCCAAGGAAAATTGGAAACGGAAAGTTCTATATCAAATAGCAAAATTAAAACAAATCCAACAAATGTAAAACCACCGTCATATTCTGACTTGCTTAAGGCATTTCAGGCATAAAAGAAGAATTTATTTCAGATAATTTCATTTTATGCTAAGACAATGAAAATATATTGTTAAGTTTTTCTTGTATTGACCTGTGCATTTTTTATCGAAGACTTTGACATTTTTGATATGAAGGTAAATTTTCAATTGACGCTCGATTGTTCGTAGCCAATCACATTAACGGATTATCATGAAACGTACATGTTATATTTACTGTTAAAGATTGTACGGTTATATGTAGATGGTAAACACTTTTTAAAGTCCATTCGATAAACTGTTGTTGCCCTAATGTTATCTTTCGTGGATTATGGTGTAAAATTATCAATTATATACCTTATCTCCTCATTCCTTCTTTATATATTAAATTAAATTCAGTCAGGTGTAAGGTGTATGCTACAGCGACCTATGTTTTTTTTTAAAAAAATTACACTTTCTTACTCCCTTTGACATATCTTTTTACCAAGCTTCAATATATATAACGGTAGTACAAAAAGTATCTAAACTATAAACCCAAAAATATACAACAGAGATAAAGACAATGAAACTTAAATTATGGGCTGATAAGATGACATTTAAATGATAATAGTGGAAAAAATACCTGAACACAGACAAAAGATAGATCTAGAAAACACATGTGGCAATTTTATACATCTACAGAAACGCTTTCACTTACATGCATTAAGAACTCTACTTTAGGAAAAGAGACACTATCTAAGTTCGTCCAAATTAATAGAGCATTCGCACTTAAGCTGATACAAAAGTCATATTGGACTCAACTGAAAGATTAATAATTTAATAATCCATAAAATCAAATTTAAGAAAATCAGTCTTTTTATATGGTCACGTGATACCTCTCCAAATGTCACATGATTTCCTGGAAAATTTAAAAAAAAATGCAAAATCCATGGGAGAAAAGTATTCTGAGGACAACATGGTGCACCAATATGGTATCGCAGAACTTATTTTTCAAGCCTGTTTGGAACAGATATGTTGCCGTTTTTGCATAACTGAATAACAACGTGTCATATTTCGTGAAATATCAATGCCCGTAGCATGCAAATAACGATTTTGTCTGACACAAACGCCAGTCTGAATCATGATCATTCAAGCAGTAAACAAAATTAAGCCTTTGGAAGGAAAATCTCAATGATTACCAATTATTACTAAGTGTGTGGCTCACACAGGGCAATAGCTTCAGCAATGGAGCAGAAGGGGGGAAGGTTTTATTGGGAAAACTGATGTTGGTAAGAGCAAACATAATTTGTTCTTTATCTGACATTTTATATGTGTTAAATGTTCGTTTTGAAATTGAAAAAAAAATAAAATTATGTTACATTTAACGCAGAAATTAATTTTGTCACATCCGGGTAAGAAGTTCAAACATACGATCTTCGTTTCAGGTCACCCCTGTACCACTGAGATCGTTGAAGAATTTATTGAAATTGAGTAGTTATGTTTACTACTCAAGAAATGAGAACATTTGATTTAAGTAGAACAATAAATACTAGTAGTTTTTTCCTTTTACATATTTTTTAGAAATAAAGTCTTGATATTAGATATAATTTTGTCAATTCCATGATTTTAAGCGAGTAAATGAGGAGATAACACATTATACCTCAATTTTCTCTTGATATATGCATGTTCCTTCATCTAAACATAAATGTTTTCTACATAACCTTTAGAAGCACTTAAAAAACAACGTTTTATTACATCTACTTCAACTTCGCTACAACAATTCAGGATATTTTAGTATATCATGTATATACCAATATGACATTTTTTTCAATTCGCTAGATGTGTCAGAGCTTTCGATTTTGACATAATTAACTTTCCGTTTTGAATTTCCCTTGGAGTTCGTTACGAATTTTGAGTGCGTGTCATGTTTGTGATAATGTTGGTACAATGTGAATCACATATTTAACTTGTGTTCACATTATAATTTAAATTTTAATCATATTCTTCCAAAACGAATCGAACAGTTTATGAAAATTAATCATAGTTTCCCTAAATAAACAGAATACTTAACACTCTAGTATAATTTGATTGATTGATTGATTGATTGATTGATTGATCGATTGATTGATGTTCTACTGGTGGAGGAAGCCGGAATGCCTGGAGAGAACCAACGGACATCTGACAATCCTTATCAAGTAAGATTGGAGTCGAGCGGACCTGTCAGTCACATGAGGGATTCGAACTCACAACCCCAGGCAAGTGATACATTAGTTAAAATACTTTGACAACTGGTCCACCGAGGCCCCCAATTCAACTCTCGTCTGATAATTTTCTGCTAAAAATATAATGATAATGTTTTTTTTTTAAAGAAAATATACTTGCAAATAAGAGGCGAATCGATTTGAATGATATAATCGATGATAGAAGTTAAATGCACCTTGAATCACATTAGTGGTGTTCAGGGTATCAGTTGAGCCTTTAACAAGTAAAAGAAACAATATTTAGTTTACCGGTACAACCGTTGCGAAAAGAAAGGGGCTAATGACACGGATAAAATGATTAAAAGATTTGGATACACATATATACCTCTTATATTCTTTGGGATAGTATCTTCTTCGTGCCTCCTCAGTTCTAAAGCTACATCTTCGATTTTCGTAGCAACATTATTGGTTATAAGTCTAGTATTTCTACCTAAAATAGACATTTACTTTTTTTATCGTGTAACATGATTTATTAAACTAACAAAGAAAGATATCTTTCGAATATTTTTAACCTTTTACGCTTCTTTAATTAGGTTGTGATATTGCTTTTACTTTTTCACTTGGTTGTTTATAGCTTGGCGTTTATTTTATTTTGTTTACTGTAAGATAATGTACAGTCAGTTTCTTTAATATAGTAGTTCAGCTTCTTTCAAGGCTTTTTGTGCATTTTTTATCTATATAAAAAAAAACGGAAGTGAAAATTTATTTTCATGTGTCCTTTATCATGATTTCTGGGTAAAACGATAACAGATTTTGAATCTCCACCTCATAATCCACATGTGCACTCAGTTTCAAGTCCATTTGTCATGGTAAACGGTATAAACTAAACACTTTAAAAGAAATGAAAAAAAATACCTAACTCATAAGTTGAAAATAAACTGACAACACCATGGCTAAAACAAATACAAACAGACAAACAATAGCACACAAAACACAACATAGAAAACTAAAGACTGAGTAGCACAAACCCACCAACACTTGGGGTTTCAGACCGAATAAGGGACGGGCTTAGGAACGAACAAACGAATGCCCATACCATAGGGATGCATACAAAACCCTTTTCAGCATTGCCATGTAGGAATAAACCTGTCATGCGTATGAATGTTTAATACTGTTTCAGTTTTCAGAAAACGTATATCTGAATTGAAGGATACTAAGAAATATACTACTCAGTTATCTTTAAAAGTTGTTTGTAATTGAAACATGCATTTAAAGTGCCATTTGATGAATTACGTTTTAGATTAGTTGAACCACATTCACAAAGAAGATTGTTTTTGACATTTTGTGGCATATATCGTTCAAGATTTATGTCCATTCCTTATCTTAAAATCTTGGATTTAAAAAACAATATCTATGGTAACAATATTAAACAATTTGTTGTATTTAACATGTTTAAATAACAGCAATCTAAAAAAAGTTTGAAATAGACAGTGAATAGTTTCTACATGAATGAATCAATTTGTAACCAGGGATCGTTTCACACTTTGTCCTGCTATCAAGCGCTGTTGAGTAACCGTGATTCAGCTGTTCTGATGCACATGAAATGATAAAAAGCATACTTTTCTTTTTTCATGACAACAAAAAAATCAAAAGGGTCAATCATTACATATGCATCAGACACAGATGTCATTGTGCTTTATGGTTATTACTTCAGTCAAAGTAGTTCGCCTTTACTCCAGAATTTTGAACACAAATGGTCATAACAGTAAACTTCTTGTAAGAGGTTCAACCCCATCCTTTTACAAAACATTCAACTTATCACCTATTACAAGCAATATAGTGCTGTCAGTACAATTAATGCAATCATTTTCAAAGTAGGACAAATATTACCTTGAATACTAAATTCACTGTGAATATTTGATGTCTGGGCTTGAAGTAAAGTTACGGATGTTTTATTGCTAACTGTCTGCTTTTTTAATGTTTCTATTTGGTCATAGATTTCTTCGCGGAATTCACTCAAATCTTGACGAATGTAAGTAAGAATATCTTTGTTAAGATTTATCTGGCTCAATTCCTCACATTTCGGCTTGTATGTCATTCCACCAAGACTTATGATTGCCTGAAGTAAAGATAACGCACAAACTTAAAGCTGATTATTTTAAGCAATTCCAGTGTTACAAACCTGACTGTTTCTAGGCTAGAGCGCTATGCGTAACAAATAAACTAGTCAGAAGCATGTGATTTCAAACCCCGTCCGTGCAGATAAGTATGACTCCAATATGTACCCGAATTAACTAGTAACCCCATGTTTCTATTCGAAAATCGGTTGTTTGCTTCTGTTATTCCGGCTTCCTCAACCAAGTGTCGTTAAACACCGAAAATCAATAAACAGATGATAAAGACTTATCCTTAATATGAATGTCAATTGTTTAAACCTGACATTTTCTTTAAAAAATATAATACCCGGTCTCTCGTTGGGACGAATCTTTTATCGTTGACTGATGAATCAAAGAAAATTTAAGCATACAATATTCATTTAAACACATGCATGTAATACTTTACTCATTTGAAAAAAAAAAACAATTTTGATGAATTTCATTTCATAATTTTAGTTAGGAAAATAGACACAAATTATCACTAAAACAAATGAAATGATTTTAATTCATTCAATTTTTTTCTTGGAATTCCTAATAAGTATACTTTTATGTGAAAAATAAATTCTGATGCTTATTGAAAACATTTACTGAATACTTGATATCAAATATAAATAAAATGTGTAATTAATTTCGAGGAACACTATACGATTAATAAACAAAAGTACACGTGAAAATCTATATGAGCAAAAAGGAACACAAAAAGAATAGTCATGTCCATTAAATGTAAAGTTTGATACTTAGTTTCTTAATGATTTCTAAATTTATTTACGGAAAATTTATAAAAAAAATGTCATAAATCATGTCAGCACCGAAACAATGACTACTGATTAAACACTATCTAGTATGAGTACAAAGAATGTATATATAATTGATTTCTTTTAAGTTATAGAATGATTTTTGAAAAGGTAAAAGTACGTTTTTCAGCGCTCACACGTGAGGTGAAAATAATTTAAGCCTAAACGTTGTACATCATCTATAAACGTTTTACCTCAGATACACAAATCCACATCGTGTTAAAGTGTTCATTTGATAATTGACCATTGTCTGTATGAGCCAGTACATTTCTGTAGTATTTTATCCTGGCTAAGTCGGCTCCATCACTTACTTCAGTGACCGGTGGTAGTTTGTCATATCCATGTAAAGGTGGAACAATAGTTGTCATGTTTCTTAATAAGCATATCATTAGTGTAATATCGTAATTTTCAGATGATGTTATTCCTATAATGAAGAACAAAAGAAATAAAGGTACACATGTACAAATGAAATTAGCATTTCAAAAGGAGGCTCTCAGAGGCATCTCCCACATTCAGTAAGTCTTTTTATAAACTTAAAACCTTATAGGTCCTGATGAGCCACAATCACTCACCTGACTACAATAAAATGCAAAATTAAAACTGTAACTGAATTTGACTCCAACTGTTACATTTCTACAAAACAGATGCATGATACATATAAAAAATATGTAAGGGTTCCGCGGAACCCAGTGTCTCGCCTACTTTATAAAGCTAATAAATGTTTTAGGAACTTTAACTGCAGATTGTATGTAATGTTAACAGGAGTAAAACTACGCACATAATTAAGTAATAAACGGAAAAACAGGAAATATATTTTTACAAAATTTGCTTCTTGATACTATCTTTTGATCATAAACAAGCTTCTGTCCAAGTTTGGTAGAAATCCAGGATAGTTTAAGAAAATTATCAAAATTTTAAAAACTTCATCCACAGAGTGAATGTTATGTTAACTGGCAGAAAAACTAAGTTCATTTATAAGTAAAATAGATACTATATTTTGATCATAAACAAGCTTCTGTCCAAGTTTGGTAGAAATCCAGGATAGTTTATGAAAATTATTAAAATTTTAAAAACTTCATCCACAAAGTGAATGTTATGTTAACTGGCAGAAAACCTAAGTTCATTTATAAGTAAAACAGGGAAAAAAAAGGATTATATATTTACAAAATTTACATCTGGATACCATCTTCTGATCATAAACAAGCTTTTGTCCTAGTTAGGTAGAAATCCAGGATAGTTTAAGAAAATTATTAAAATTTAAAAAACGTCATTCACAGAGTGAATGTTATGTTAACTGGCAAAAAACTAAGTTCATTTATAAGTAAAATAGGAAAAAAAGGATTATTTTTTTTACAAAATTTACTTCTGGATACCATCTTCTGATCAGAAACAAGCTTTTGTCCTAGTTTGGTAGAAATCCAGGATAGTTTAAGAAAGTTATTAAAATTTTTACAATTTTAACCACAGAGTGATAATGTAATGTTAACTGGCAGAAAAACTAAGTCCATTTATAGGTAAAATACGGATAAACAGGATTTTTGTTTTACAAAACTTGATCCTAAATTCTATCTTATGATCATAAACAAGCTTCTGACAAAGTTTGGAGAAATCCAGGATAGTTTAAGAAAGTTATTAATATTTCAAAAACTTTAACCACAGAGTGAATGTAATGTTAACTGGCAGAAAAACTAAGTCCATTTATAAGTAAAATACGAATAATAAGGATTATTTTTTTTTACAAAATTTACTTCTGGATACTATTTTTTTTATCATAAACAAGCTTCTGTCCAAGTTTGGTAGAAATCCAGGAGATTTTAAGAAAGTTATCAAAATTTCGAAAACCTTAACCACAGAGTGTATATTTGTGGACGCCGCCGCCGACGACGACGACGCCGACGACGGAATGTAGGATCGCTATGTCTCGCTTTTTCGACAAAAGTCGAAGGCTCGACAAAAAGAAGATGTGGTACGATTGCCAATGAGTCAACTCTCCACAAGAGACCAAATGACTCAGAAATTAACAACTATAGGTCACCGTACGGCCTTCAACAATGAGCAAAGCCCATACCGCATAGGCCCCGAAATGACAATGTAAAACAATTCAAACGAGAAAACAAAGGCCTAATGTATGTACAAAAAATTAACGAAAAACAAATATGTAACACACAAAAAACGACAACCACTGAATTACAGGCTCTTGACTTGGAACAGGCACATACATACAGAATTTGACGGGGTTAAACATGTTAGCCGGATCCCAACCCTCCCCCTAACCTACGGCAGTGGTTTAACAGTACAACATAAGAACAAACTATAAAAATCAGTTTAAAAAGGCTTAACTCATCAGATGGATACAAATACTACACAGAGTGTAAATGCATGATATAGGAAGTTTATTTATGGCCTAGTTAATCTCACTAATTAAAAGTGCAGAGAAACTAACGTGATCGAAATTCTACATAATTAACTTGATACCATTTGAGCCAATTATTTTCTCTTTTTAACAGTATTTAAAAAAAAAAAACTATTGTGATTCTATGATACTAAACTAATAAAAAGTCTTACTAACGCATAACTCATGCTCATTGGAATAAGACAAATCTATGAAAATCATAAGTTTAATCTGCAAATCGTGCAAGCCAGCATTGCGAAACAGTTACATTCATGAAACGTGAAAATCTAAAGGCCTTGTGACCGTGAATTTGACAAAGGTATATCTTAATATTTTTTAACATTGTCATAAAGCGGGAGGTTTGGCTAGCCATTACACCAGGTTCAACCCACCATTTTTCAAAAAATGTGCTGTACCAAGTAAGGAATATGTCAATTGTTATCAAATAGTTCGTTTCTATGTATCTTGGCGTTGGTTTTTGTTGCCAATTTCCAGTTGTTCCTTTGTTTTCCTCTTATAGTTGATGTGTTTCCTTCGTTTTTAGTTTGTGGCCCGGATTTGTTTACTCTTAATAGATTTATGACTTTTGAACACCGGTATACTATTGTTTCCTTTATTTATACATGTTATAAGGTAACACTTAAACATAAGTTCCGAAATTGAGTGGAGCGTAAAATATTCTGCCATATTCATTTTTCGTAAATTGTTTTGTTATAAATTAGGCCCTTAGTTTTCTCGTTTGGACGGTTTCTTTTTTTTCCTATCAGGGATTTTTATATCCGACAATACAGTATAGGTTTCTCATTATTGAATGCATTACGGTGACATATAATTGCTTACTACCATTTCATTTTAACTCTGGTGGATAGTTGTCTCATTGGCAATCATACCATATCTCCTCATGTTTATATCAATAGAAAACCTTTATGGAGGCACGCAAGACAAAAACTCAGACATTTTCTGGTGACATGTGCAAGACTTATGACCAGACAACAATATTTATTGAATTAAATAAATCATTGGTTAAAATCTAGTTTACATGTTATTTCAACTTATACTTGAAATGCTAATTGTTTCGTACTTTTTATTTTATTTTGAGACGATCCCCTTCATTTTATCTGTCAAAGTAGGTGTAAACAGTCGGTACCGAGACTTTCCGTAAATCTCTATTTAGACAATGATAAATTCAACCATTCAAGAAACAAAGTTTTTTTTATGAAATATATTAAAACCGCGACTTCTACGTCTCACAATTATTTGCTTCAAATGTATATATATATATGTCTTTTATATGTAAAAAAAACAAACTTTGCCTTATCTTTGGCGATCAAGCTTGTTGAGAATCAATTTGGTTAACTATGATTCTTTTATGGAAATATTTATTGCATGTTCATATTAAATACCTGATGTTGGATATAGTAGATCCATTTGCTTCTTATTGATGATACGGCAATTTAAAAGGCGGCTGGTAATCAAAGCTTTGTCTCTTGCAAGAGTAGCCGATAGTGCTAGTGGATTGTAATAATGGTTGAACTTATCTCGAACTGCTTTAGGTGCAACATTACTCATCAATCGAAACATCCGTAAAAAATTATCTTCTTTCTCTGTTAATGAATTTTCAGTATATTTCAGTCCTCTGAAGATGCTCTTCCAAGATTTCCTTAAATAAATCTTAAAAAGAAAAATGACGTTAAAACAACAGCATCATTGTGACAGAACTGATATAAAACTTGATATCAGGTATTCGATACTTTATCTTCTCCAAACGGCATATGTAGGGGACAATACGGAATACTATAATTATCATGCGCCCAGTAGATTTTATAATATTAAAAAAGAAACATTAAATACCATGTACACGAGCTAATATTGTACAAATTTTTGAAAGTGAACTTTGTCCGAGGATGTTACTCAATTTCATGAACTGATGAGCCGGAATTTTAAGAATGCAAGACTAAATTACATATACAATGCATCTGAGCATTAGCCCTAGATTTGATATATCTTATCTAATGTTGTAAACGTTTTTAAATGTTTTCAACGTTCATCATATTTGATCTGAATTGAATCTGTCAGTTATTGAGAAAATACATTAATTGTCGGAATGCGCATATGGTGCGATAAAAATTGGTGCCGTTAATGTTATTCTGATAAATTACATAAAAGGAAACATATTGTATACATATATCACACTTTTTCCAAAATAACATAATCGAGGAAATAAGATTTTGGTAAAAAAAAAATGCCATTTACAGATATTTTTGCATTCACTCCTTTCATTCAAATTTCCTTTTACTTTAATGAACATGCTCACTGACAGCATAAACGCTTTTGAATTCATTTAGCACTTCGTGTTATAGTTCTAATACTCACAAATATTTTATGACACTCTGTCAGCAAAACCCTGAACCATCCCTTTTGGTACAGTATGGTTATTATGACTAGTACTACAGCTAGTAAAATAGCTAAAACAAGGTCCATTCTTTTAATGAAGTAAATAAATCAAGCGAGCATCATTCTACAAATATAGATAACTAACTATATATAATATTTTCATCAAGATGTAATATCATGATACATATGTTTCATTTTGATAAGCTGATATCATTCAAATGGTGTCCAATGTGATTTTTTTATTTCCCAATAAAGGGTATATTTTATGCGTTTAAAAAACGTTACAACAATGCGTAATAATATTTTCAACAAAACGAGTAATTAATGTGTAATTTTATGTGTGTTTGTTTTGCAGAATAAGAATAAAAATGCAATTAAAAAGTTAAATGGCAAAATTTTGGCGAAATATCATAAATTTGAAGTTGTCAAAATGATAAAAGAAAAACAATAAATAAATGAATAAAAAAACAAAACAGCAGATAGAAAAACGTATAATTTAGCTAAATATGAATACCAAATCGTAAATAGTGGTGTAAAGATATGATAAGACAATTGAAAGTCAATATTTATGGCCAAATTTATCAAAGGGACTCGTCCAACAAGCTACTAATATTGTTTTCTTTTTGTTGTTGTGGCTTATTATCTTGTTTGCTCATTTCCTGTGTATTCAAAATAATGTATGAAAAACAACTGTTGATAGCCTACTGCCTTGGTTAAACAAGAATACGTATTAACTCCGTTATGAGTAGTAGAACAGATAAAGTCTGTGAAATGTGTTAAAAATTGAAAACAACTTATAAGTTTTATGCGTTCGAACGCTTTTTTGGATCTTCATCAGGAACGCTCAAAGCTGAATATTTGAAAGCCACTGATGTATCAGAACCGCAAATATATTTACTTTTTAAAATATACATGAAGGTAGCTTTGTTGTGCCCTTTTCTTGTGCAAATATTATTTGTTTAAGTTCGATTTTCCCTATCTGGTTCAAATGTATTTGCTGATACTCATGATTGATTGATTCTAAAGATCACAGAACGCTTAAGTCTATCTTTTCATTTCTCTGTAATGGTCTGTTTGTTTAATTTTCATTTTATTGAGAAATTGATGTGGATGTAAACTATGAGGTAGTACCTCGTGAATTTATTTACAGTTTGTTGAAATCTTGTAGTGTTTGATCTTTGTCCAAGTTGAATGATCCCGTTTCTCTTTTGGTTAATAAAACGGAACATGAAGTAAATTATCTGATTGATTTTGAAATGTACGAAGGGAATTCTCACTCGCACTTATTTCATTTTCTTGACTCTTAAAAAAAACCTGTGATCCAGTTTTTTATGACTTAAATAGTGCAATACACATAATAATTATTCTTATTAAGACAAAAAGAAATTAAGATCAAACTATATTTTTGTAAATTGATGTAAAATTCACTTGTTTTGTGACTTTTTGTTCATTTTAGAAAAATAAACTCCGTCAAAAAGATAATAAAGTTTTAGAGTATTTACTGCAGATATATAATTATCCACCTGTAACATTTACTGATTTCGTCACCTAAACATAAAAACGGAGGTTGGTATATTAAAAAGGCAAATATTTTTATGTTTGATGGTTACAAATTAAACTTAAAGAGCCTATGTCGCTCATAAACAATTTCGGTAATGTTATACTTATTTGTAAATTTTCTTGCTGATCATTTTTGCTTTTAAAGTTTCTCTTTATCTATTATAGGTTTCAAGATAAAAGCCAAACATTATAAAAATTATGATAAAATTCTTCATTTGAGGGTATCAACTCCTAATAAAAGTCGTCGGATAATTTTGAAGTAACTGAACAAAAGGTTGATCTCACATTTCTACCCTTTTAAGATTTTCTCTTCCTAAAGATGTTTTCAAGATAATAGACAAAACTTGCATTTTATCCCAATGTTCTATTTTAGCAATGTAGGGTCTGTTGGTCTTAAAACTAGATACCCAAAGGATAATTGGAGCAAAGTTTCTGAGGAGAATATTTTTGTAAAAGTTAACGGACGACAGACGACGACGGACGACAAACGCGAAGTGATGAGAATAGATCACCTGGCCCAATGGTATTTTGCATTTATTGCAAAGGATATAAAAATGTAAATCTCCTATTTCAATGTTATATTGGTTTTGGATTTCAAATATTTTGACATCGAGGAGCATCACTGATGAGTCGATAATGAATATTAATTGTCAAAATGAGAATCTGATGTAGTAAAGTTGGAACCGTTAATACAATTGTACAGTTTTTAATTCTAAAAACGCATAATTATATGCGAAGTTCGTTTCTTTCAACATTTCGAAATTCTGTACTATCAATAGTACCTGTTCAGTGAGTACTTTTAAGGTACTTTGTATTCATAATTAGATATATTTTCGATAAGTTATTATTTTACTTGATATCAATAGAGTTATAAATCACGACGATCCTATGCAGTGCACCATATGGTGTTTGTTTTTATTTGCCTTTTTCTTAATGGCGCGTAGATCAAATTTAGTTCCCGATTCTAAAATGTCATTTGACAAAGATAAACAGTTAACTAGAAATAAAGTAATTTTAGTGAGTAATATTGCTATTGTAATTTTCAATTGGTCAAAAGCCAAACAGATGGGTAATAGACTTTTGAAGATACCGTTAGTTGAAAATACTAGATCTGCATTATGTCCCATTGAGAGCGTAGAGGAATATGTGTTAATTAATTCCTGCCAACGGAGATATCCCAGCTTTTCTATTTTCTAGTAAACACAAGTCAGTTCCTGTGATCTATATAGATTTTCAGCAGTATATTAAGGAGTTTATTATTAAGATAGGTAGGAATCCACGACTATTTTCTACACACAGCTTCCGTCGAGGGGGTGCTACGTTTGCCTTTGAATCTAAGGTGCCTGCGGAGTTAATACAAGTTCATGGCGATTGGGCAAGTGATGCTTATCAATTGTATCTTCAATTTTCTTTATCAGAGAAAGTCTCCGTTGCTAAGGCTATGACTAAATTTATCCCTTAATTGCAATAATGAAGAAGAGGGTGTTGATTTTGTGTGATTCTATCGGGAAATATTTGGATGGGATAAAAGACACTGTAGTACAGAGTTTTAGTGGAGTTAATTTAGGTTACATTAAATATATTATTGATAAGGAGTATTTGTATCTTCATGATTTTGATAGCTTTTCTCATGTTATTTTGCATTTTGGTACCAATGATGTAGAGAATCATACTCCAGAGATTATTTTATGTAAATTTAGAAATTTAATTTATAGTACAAGAAATAGAAATAGAGACATAAATATATTGATATCTTCTATTTTACCGCGACCAGTTGATTTTGTTCAGTTAGGAAGTGAGGTTGTTGAGATTAATAAAGCCTTAATTGGCATTTGTAAAGAGGAGAAAATAAGTTTCATTAAGTCTTATAGAAGAGTTTTGTTAAAGTGTTCCCCTAAAAAAGATTTTTTTGCTATTAAAGATGGAGGTTTGCATTTAAATGAAGCTGGAGTTTTTCAACTTAAAATGTGTTTTATTCATGTCATTTCGCATTTGTAAATTGCATATGTTTAATTATATAGTTGTAGTTTGTTAACTTTTTCTTTGTTTATATTTTGTAGATAACCATTCAAGTAGGTGGCTTACAATGATGTTCTTTATTCATTGAGTCAGAAGATTAACAAAGAAGTAGCATATTCATTGGATCTTTAGTAGGAGATTTACAAGAAAGTATCGTATTGATTTCTTGAGTCTCTTCAGGCTTACACAAAAGAATATCAGCTTGTGAGTCTGATTTATTACAATTCTATAATATTGCTTTATCCATTTTGTTTTGTGTTTTGCGGGCTTGTTTGGCGGGTTATTTTTGTAGGGCCCGCAATGTTGTATACTCTAGTTCATGTATATGTATATTATTTGTTAAATGAACTTGTACAATATTTTTCGGCCAAAATAAAAGTATTTTTTATCTTGTTTTCTATTCTGGGCCAGAGATAATTGTACAGTTTTTAATTCTAAAAACGCATAATTATATGCGAAGTTCGTTTCTTTCAACATTTCGAAATTCTGTACTATCAATAGTACCTGTTCAGTGAGTACTTTTAAGGTACTTTGTATTCAGAATTTGATATATTTTCGATAAGTTACCCTCCCGCCCATCCCTAATTTTTAATTATTGTACTAGTGAGTTATTTTTATTTTTATATTTCTTTTTACATATTTAACTTATGCGGGTTATTTTTGTAGGGCCCGCAATGTTGTATACTCTATTT